TGTGAGTTAATCATTAGGCAAATGATGCAAAAGATCGTAGACCTATGGCCATATACTCACGTAAATTAGATATCTATCTGTCTGTTTGTTAAACTTACCCATCCATCCTTCTATCCATCCTTCATTCATTCCTTGGGGTTATTAACAATCATTAGAGGATGTGAGCCTATCAGGATCATATGAAGAGCCTATAAATTCTCTGTCACCCCCAGGCTTCATCTGGGCTGAGATTAAGGAAATGTGGGATGGAGGCTTCACCGAGTATGTGCACGATTGGTGGAACCTGATGGACTTTGCCATGAACTCGCTCTACCTGGCCACCATCTCCCTGAAAATCGTGGCCTACATCAAGGTAAGCCCTAACCCCAGCAGGATGGATCTGGCAGCCTGTAATAGGCAGACTGAGCCAGCACAGTGATGTCACCATTGAGGCCTTGAGTAGGGATTGGCCGGCCCTGCTCTCTTAGTTTATATTCACACACATATGCATCACTCTGCCCCTGGCACACGCAGTACTAATAGTGCTTATTTGGTGTGTCGGGGTGTGTAGATGTGCGTGCACTAATGACCGCCATCGTGCCGGCTATGGCGGCCTCTCCTTCACCTCCCCCCCCTCCCCCCCCCAAGTACAACAGCTCACGTCCGCGGGAGGAGTGGGAGATGTGGCACCCGACTCTGATTGCCGAGGCCCTCTTCGCCATCGCCAACATCTTCAGCTCGCTGCGGCTCATCTCGCTGTTCACGGCCAACTCGCACCTGGGCCCACTGCAGATCTCACTGGGCCGCATGCTGCTTGACATCCTCAAGTTCCTCTTCATCTACTGCCTGGTGCTGTTGGCCTTCGCCAACGGTCTCAACCAGCTCTATTTCTACTACGAGACCAAGGCATCGGACGAGCCAAACCACTGCAAGGGCATCCGCTGCGAGAAGCAGAACAACGCCTTCTCCACGTGAGTCCTGACCTGGCAGGCTTCAGCAGAGCCTTCCAATGATACTGATGACCAAACTGCTTCACTGTCTAACACCTGTGTGTGAATTTCACAGATGACCTTCAGCTGAAGGCCAGTTATTTACATCATTACATCACTCGTACCCGGGTAGGGTGACCAGATAATCCATGTCAGGAGGGACACTATGAGCCACAACAGGGTTTGTGAACTACCATTACAACCATTTCAATTAAAAGGATTTCAATTAAAACCAATTCAGTTTTAAAGTAGTTTGTAAAACCTGAAGTAGCTCTGTGTACCCCATGACGTGGACTAGGTGGTCACCCTATACCCTGAAGTAGCTCTGTGTACCCCATGACGTGG